CACAGCCCCACCTCCAGCTGGCCCCCCCACACCCCCCTAAGCCCACACAGCCCCGCCCACGTCCCCCTGCGCACCGTGCAGCAGTGGTTAATGAACCTCGCCAGGTTGCCGCACTTGGTGGCGTCGATGATGGTGTCATGGTCCACCCGGAATAGGTAGCTGCTGCCGATGCCCTCCTGCACATAGCGCTTCTCCCGCATGTCAGCCACCATCTGGGAGGGCAGGTGCCGGGTCAGGGAGCCGCTCCCCACTCCTGCCAGGCCGGCGGGTCCCCCAGCCCTGTGAGGGGGGGTCGGGACAATCTCCCACGAACCCCTGGGGCCACTCTGTCCCGGGCCTGTAGGCCTCCCCCTGGCTCCCACTCAGCCGAGGCCTGGACACTCCAATGCCCGGACACTCCAATGCCGGGTCCAGGAGCCCTCCCAACTACAGCCACCCCATGGTCCCTTTGCCTGCTATTTAAGTCACTTGTAGGCCATGAGAGAGTCTGCACTGGCCCCCAGTGGGGCCTCCAGTGTGCTGTGGGGCTGGGGCAGCTCCCAAGATGACTGTGGCCATTTCATGGGCCGAACCCTACTCGCTTTCTCCCCGGACCTACTGGTTTGTCACACCCTTATATGACAAGGAATAATTCTTCTTCCCCAGAGGGTGGGACATAGCCCCCTGCACTCTTCCCGTGGGGGTCCTCTCTCAGGGCTTCAACTGCTGGCTAAGCGCTGGGGGTTCTCCCAAACGTCCATCTCCAGCCCCAATCCACCTCAGGGCCTGCTGGGTATCATCCTCCAGAGGTCCCCCAGCACTGGAACTTCCCGTGTCCCAACTGGAACCCATCTTGGCTGCATATCTGCTCGTCCTCATGCCCGCTCACTGGCTGGCCTCCAGCCCTGCCCTCTTTCCAGAGCCAACCTGGGGCCCGGCCTGGTCCTGCAGCTACTCTGGTTGCCACTGCCTGGTCTGGGGACCTGCCTTTGGATGGTCTCTGCAACAGCCCCCGACCCCGCACTCATCTCAGTCTAGCTCACTCTTCTTCACCAGCGGGAGCTGATGACCCCCAAGCCCTCTTCCCATGCTTAATGCTCTACAGAGACTGTCTTTCACCGAACTCGGTGTGGCTCCTAGGCTCTGGGGAGTCTGGCTGCCACAGACTGCCCTAGTTGTACGCTGCAGCTGCATGTCTGAGTTTCCCAACTAGCCTTCGTGCCCTCGGTGCTCTCTGGACACTATCCTGCCCAAGGCCCTTGCACATACTGCCCCCCAACCTAAGCCTGGAGTTCCTCATCCCTCAGCTCCTGGTACAAACATCACTGTGCTTGAGCCGCCCTTGCCTCCCTGAACTTCCCCTTTGTATTAAACAAATGCCATCCTTTATTGGAGTTGCTTGTTCAATACCTGTCTTCCCCACTGAACTGTGAAGTCCTTAAAGGCAGAGATCATACTGGTCTTGTTTCTTGCTGGATCATTACATCTAGCTTACTACTTTACTAGGACCCATAACCCATAGGGAGGAGGGGAGAATAGGAGGGAGGAAGGGAAGGGGAGGAAAAATAGAGGCAGGAAGTCTTGGAGGATCTGTGGGGCTCTATGCAGAGGTCAGGTGGGCCTCAGGTTGGCATCCCACGCTGCCATCAGACCTGGGCCAGGCATGGGGCCTTACCTGGCGGATGTTCTGACCCACATACTCGATGACCATCTCGTCCGCTGCAATGGGCTCCATGGCAAACAGGCCCCACTCATGGATCCGGCTCCGGCCGAATCGGAGCTTCTTCTTCCGGAACTACGGGCAGAAGGCAGGCTGCTGGAGGCGTCCCTCAGCTGGCCTCCTTGCTTTCCCTGCGGCTCTCCAGGGCAGGAGTGTGTTCTGGCCTCTCACCCCACCCCTAGCCCTAGGGAACCCTTCCCCAGCTCTCGCCCTGCACCTTGAGCTGGTTCAGCTTCAGTAGATCACTGTCCACAATGGCCGAGGTGCCGATGGCGCTCAGCAGCCGCCGCTGCTCAGACCGGCGCTCCGAAAGCACCCGGTTAGTCCCCTGTGGGAAGCAGGACAATGAGGAGGCAGGTGACAGGACAGACCATGGAGGCAGGAGCATGCCCGTGGGCCACATGCCAGGGCAGAGCCTCACCTGAGTGTCCGCCCCTTCCAGCTGCCGGGCTGAGACGGGGCACACATCCAGGTACCGGTCCTTTTCCTTCTTGCTGATGGGGTAATAGCCTTCGCTGCGGGCTGAGCCTGTCTGGTGCTCCCGGGGCCCATCCTGGGGCCGCCGCCTGCGTCTGGGAGCGCTCAGGTTGGTGAGTGCAGAGTACGTTAAGGAAGAGAACGGGTTCCCCACTCCCTGCAGGCCCACTTCCAAGCCCCAGGCCCAGCCCAAGGGTGACCTTTGCTGGAGGGCCTGAGCATATGGTGTGAGGAGGACAGAATGATGGAGAGAAAGGAGTCTTAGAGCACCTTTCCTGCCAGAGAAACTTTGGGAGGCGGAAGAGAGGCAGGAGGCAGAGAGAAGGGCAGGTTGGTGGCCAGAGGAGAAACACCCAGGCTGGAGATGGCAGAGAGAAGTGGACAAGGAGGGGGAGAAAGGCAGACCCTGGAGTGGTCTGAGGAGGACGCTGCGACCTCAGGAGGCCACCCCACTCCTGGGGCCTGTCTTCCTGTTCGAGACCAGCCTCAGAGCTCAGGATATTGGTGTGATGGACCCAGTGGGTGTCATTAAGCCAGTCGGCCCCGCTTGTCTGCTGCAGCAGCTGCTCGTAGGTGAGCCGTAGGTAGCCCATGTCCTCCAAGTCCAGGCCTGAGTTCCAAATGTCATACAGGATGGTCATCTGCTCAAACTCACTGCGAGGCTCAAAGGAGGAAGGCGGGGGCGGGGGTG